CAATAAAATCTGTACAACCAATATGACAAGCCTTTAAAGATGGGTGGGGTCGAAAAATGAACATTTCGTTAGAGCACTGATCACAGAAACAACGGGAAATGTCACACCACACGTCTCAAAGTCAAGTCAGTAGCGGGTATGTCCACCGTGAGCATCAATACATGCCAGAACACGCCTACGGACTGATGACGTCAAACGTCTGATGACGTTGGGAGTGATGCGTTGCCATTCCTCGAGGAGACATCGTTCCAAGTCCTGGACGTTGACTGGAGGCACACGGCGACGTCGGATTTGCCGATCGAGGTGGTCCCATAAGTGCTCGATGGGATTCATGTCCGGTGAACATGCGGGCCATGGCAAAACCTGTACGTTGGCGTACTGTGTCAATCTTGCTGTGTGTGGCCTTGCATTGTCATGTTGGAAAAGGAGTCCACGAGGCTGTTGCTGAATAAAGGGCACCACAACAGGCCGTAGGATGTCATCAAGATAACGCTGTGCATTCAGGTTTCCACGAATTACGGCAAGCATCGTTTTGACGTCACCACATATGCCACCCCAAACCATTAACCCTCCACCTCCAAACGGCCGGACCTGTTGGATACAGTTAGGCGCCAAACGTTCACCAAATCGTCGGTATACAAGCTGCCGTCCATCGTTTCTGAAGATGAGGAATCTGCTCTCATCAGAGAACATAACACGTGCCCAGTCCCGCCGTTGCCAACATCGAACTCGCCTGGCCCAGATCAGTCTGTTGTTCCGGTGTCGAGGCGTCAGGAGCGGTCCGCGGTAGGGATGACGTGGCCGGATACCATACTGCCGTAGTCTCCTGTAGACGGTCTGTCGACTGATCCTGTGTCCCAGTGCTGTAGCCGCCGTGGACGTCGCTGTTACGGTGCGGTTCCTCAGGTGTAATACCCGGATGTAACGATCTTCACGGGGCGTGGTTACTCGTGGTCTTCCACTCCTGGGCCTGTCTGACGTCTGACCTGTCTGACGTAACCGCTGCATCAACCTGGTGATAGTGATGCGTGCGCAGCCCAACCTTCTGGCGACGTCGACGTGTGACGCTCCTTGTTGGACCATTCCAACGGCTCTCTCTCTCTCGATGGCTGTCAAACGTGGCATATCTTGTGTTCTTTTTGTTGCTGTGATATCAACGTGTCTGATCAGCCGTTTTATACAGTTTTTTCTGCACGTGCAGAACATGCTAGAGAGGGAAATGTCACTTTCACGAAATTTACGTTTTTTCCCGGAAGTGATCACGTGTTCCCGGTATTTTTTATCGACTATGCTGTGTTTGGGATGTGCAATACGAATTGGCATGTTTTCATACTTGACAATTCACTTAGTAAAAAAGAATTTTGAAAATAAGTTGGTATCGTTTCTTTTGGACACTAGTTTATAATAATAGCAAATAAATATATAATAATAGCAAATAGCTGACTTCGATAAAGACAGGGGGATTAAGTGTGATACGGACATACACAGGCACTATATAGCTCAAAAAAAAATATTCGAGATAGAGGGAGGGATGCGGTGTGATATGAACATATGCAGACACTCTATAGCGCGGTAAACATATTTAAGACAGAGGGATATGGTGTGATATGAACATATACAGGCACTATATAGCTAAATAAATATATTAGAGGCAGAGGGATATGGTGTGATATGAACATATACAGGCATTATATAGCTCAATAAATATATTCGAGACAGAGGGATATGATGTGATATGAACATATACAGGCATTATATAGCTCAATAAATATATTCGAGACAGAGGGGTGTGGTGTGGTATGAACATATTCAGGCACTACATAGCTCAATAAACTACTTCGAGACATACAGAGGGATATGGTGTGATGTGAACATATACAGGCACTAAATAGCTGAATAAATATATTCGAGACAAAGGGAGGCGGTGTGATATGAACTTATTCTGGCACTATATAGATCAATAAATACGTTCGAGACAGACAGAGGGATGAGGTGTTATACGAATGAAATTCGGCACTATATAGCTCATTAATTTAGCTCTGTCTATATTTGAGATAAACAGAGAGATGCGGTGTGGAATGAAGACATTCAGGCATTATATAGCTCAATAAACATATTCGAGACAGACAGCGGGATATTGTGTGACATATTGTTCGAGATAGAGGGAGGAATGCGATGTGATATGAACATATGCAGACACTCTATAGCGCGGTAAATATATTTAAGACAGAGGGATATGGTGTGATATGAACATATACAGGCACTATATAGCTAAATAAATATATTCGAGGCAGAGGGATATGGTGTGATATGAACATATACAGGCATTATATAGCTCAATAAATATATTCGAGACAGAGGGATATGATGTGATATGAACATATACAGGCATTATATAGCTCAATAAATATATTCGAGGCAGAGGGATCTGGTGTGATGTGAACATATACAGACACTATATTGCTCAATGAATATATTCGAGACAGAGGGATATGGTGTGGTATGGACATATACAGGCACAACATTGCTAATTAAACTACTTCGAGACATACAGAGGGACATGGTGTGGTATGGACATATACAGGCACAACATGGCTCAATATACTACTTCGAGAAATACAGAGGGATATGGTGTGGTATGAACTTATACAGGCACAACATAGCTCAATAAACTTCTTCGAGACATACAGAGGGATATGGTGTGGTATGAACTTATACAGGCACAACATAGCTCAATAAACTTCTTCGAGACATACAGAGGGATATGGTGTGGTATGAACTTATACAGGCACAACATAGCTCAATAAACTTCTTCGAGACATACAGAGGGATATGGTGTGATATGAACATATACAGGCACGACATAGCTCAATAAACTACTTCGAGACATACAGAGGTATCTGGTGTGGTATGGACATATATACAGGCACAAAATGGTCTAATAAATAAGTTCGAAACAGACAGAGGGATATGGTGTGATATGAACATATACAGGCACAACATAGCTCAATATACTACTTCGAGACATGCAGAGGTATCTGGTGTGGTATGGACATATATACAGGCACAAAATGGTCTAATAAATAAGTTCGAAACAGACAGAGGAATATGGTGTAATATGAACATATACAGGTACAATCATTACGCAAAGTAAACGCGTATTTATTTCCGCCGTCGGTGCTAGCATTGAATACAACTTTAACGAATATCGTGTCCCAGTTGATATTGTTTTATACGCAACAGTAAGCCACGACTTAAAGATTTTTCCTATGCATTAATGCAAATAAGTGTGTTTAATGTCGATTTTATACTTACTATTTATCCTTCGTGTTTTTAAATGTCACTTACAGTGAGATTGGATCAATAAATACCACCTCAATCAAAACCGCCCTGACCTGTTTCCCAACCCTGAGCGTGGACAAAATACACAGTAGCGTACTAAACATCCTTTACATTACAGTGTAGTCGATAGGTTGGATTCAAACGTCGTGGAGTAAAAACAACTATTGGTAGTTAGTCGGTGACATTTCTGTTCCGTCTTCTTCTTACGATAAAATGATGATTTGAAATCAGAAACAGTATATATTATTTTGTTGTGTTAGGGGTTTTAGTGAGTGAGTCAGTTGGGTTTAACGCCGCTTTTAACAGTATTCCAGTTATATCACTTCGGTGAAACCCACGAACACGGATATGGTGCTGACAAACCTAGAAACATAATCGGGGCGAACCGGGATTCGAACCAACAATCATAGGTTTCTAGCGTGCCCAAGGGACGCAACTCTTCACAGCGAATCGCGGCACCTTTGACGATTGGACCACCCGTGCCACCGTTAGTGGTTTTAAAATTACTCCTTCAAAGATAGTACATCCGGTGTAGAATTGGTCTTCAGCTACCCATCGGTTGACATATATTTCATGGTATCCAAATTGCGTAGATCCCCAACTACTTACTGGAATGTCCAGCATGTTACATTCCTTATATCAGCTAACCCGGGCTTGACATTCCAGTAACCGGATTCAGGTTGATTGCAAGATTCCTAAAATTCCTAAAAGTTTTGTGTGTTGTTTAACACCGCACTCAGCAATATTCCAGCTATACGGCGGTCTGTAAATGATCGAGTCTGGACCAGACAATCCAGTGATTGACATCATGAGCATCGATCCACGCAATTGGGATACGATGACATCCATCAACCAAGTCAGCGAGTCTGACCACCCGATCTGGCCCATGGGCGACATAGTGTAAATATTGAGTTTTTGAACAATTTTGTTTTCATTTTTTCTTCCCTGGTATGTTCCCATGAAAACAGCATGTTTAATTTTGTGAATAACTTTGACCGAGACTGGGCAAAGACCGTAGAGTTTCTGGACTTTTGGGTTTCCAGAGTATATATAATTACAATGTTAAATATAGTCCCCGCCGTACAGTCTGTAGTTTTATGACCTAGGCCGATATTGTTTGCCGACAAAATACCCACCTAAACGTTTCGGAAGCTGTTCCTATTTCAAGCAGATTGATACCACTGCGATCCTGATGTTTTTACAATAAACACTTCACCGTTTTCCAAACCCTTCATTCAAGGAGAAGTATTCTCAACCCAGTGAGCTAATTATACTTTGCCTTAGATTAGATGTCTTTCTTTTTGAACCACTATGAAGTACAATCGCTGAAGCCCCATTTGGGCAGCGGTTCAGACTCAAAACACAGGTGGGTGAGCGGGGCGGCATTTGAATGCTATGGAATTTGTCAGCATTACCAATTTTCCCAGCAATGACAGTGACCGTCCCCATTACTATACCGTTATCCCCAATCGATTGCTCTCATTTGCTTCAATCTCAATTCAAACTTCTGGTCATTTTTCTGAACGCTGGAGGGTCAGGGGTGTGTGGACATTATATCATAACATCCCTAGTGGCCGAGCACGACCCCGAGGAGGTCACTGGCGACAGCGGTAGTCTCCCAGTCTCCAATCATAAACCGTCTCTAAGTTCGATCACTGATCAGTCTGCGAATCAGCGTAAAGCCGTGAAGGGTGGGATTTCCTGATACCTGGGAGACTGTTATCGTGCCTGACTTTCCATGAAACGTGATCACAACCAGATTCGCGGCTGTAAAGCTAATATTTGACCCGTGTATTGTGGTCCTAGGATTATGCTGAGGAGGAATATAGCACCAAGTTGAGAAAGCTAGACTTCGGAGTTGGAAGTCATTCGTTTTATAAGTTGAGAGTTTTACCTCTAGGGTTTCCCGCCTCTAAGTAACAGGCTCTGGCGTGGCCACGTGACTTGCCTCTCGCAGCAGACGTCGCCCAACTGAGGCAGACGACAATTCCTAGTGGGACGTGAGTGATTGAAGAAGGTCGGTTTAGGCTTACTTGGATGGGCTTTCAAAGAGAAAGTGTTCCGGGCAGTATCTTACTTCAAAAAGTTATGAGTTATGTGGTCTCAAAGTTTCTGGATGTTTAATTGACGACGTCTGGACAACATTAGCGGCACAAATAGGATTCAAGGTGAGTTTAGCTCTAAACCTGGTAGGCCCTACTTCATGATTAAGACCTGCACCTTTGAAGAATTACCCCAACAAGGCATGATGAGTGCGAACCGTCTCATTCCTTTTCTATGTCAACACAAATGATTATACAACCGTTTTCATTTATACAAGTAGGTCAGATGCGCAATTAGTGTCTGTAATTGCAATCATATGAAACCATTAGAACAATCACAAGCAGGGTCCTGGCGGAAAGGCGAACAACACTTTTTACGCAGAACCCCGTTGTGTAAAAATACCTTGGATGACTAGAATAATAGATACAATTTTGGAGTTATTATTTCAACTTTTGAAATGCATTGTTTGTAAGTTTCTACCTTGTCACATATCAAGTCCTATAACGGTTTTTAACACTTGGTTGCATCGCTGATTTTCAGGGATCCATTAATAAAATTTTCCTAACTATTTTGCCCTTTACACCCATTGGAATTTCTTTCGGCAGAGGACCGAGACAAAAGTTCTCTAGTTCTATGTTTACAGAGGCGGAATTCTGTAATTTGGGTTTAAAATAAATGTATGGAACTTGAAGTAAGTATATTTCCTTTGTGGTTAAACCATGCTCTCATTACGTATTCGTTGCCGTCGTTGTCGGCGCTGGTGCCGTCGTTAGTGGTTGATGCCGTCACAGCAGACCTCTATTTACCATGGCGATAAAATGAATTACATTCAAATGCTTTTTGCAGTTCGAATCAGTTCACGGTTCCATTAAGCGTATTTGTAATACATTAAGCTAATTGCCAGCGCTACAATGCGACCGGTGTGGGAGCAGGTGTTACTGTTATATTTCGTGACGATTGTTTCAACGTGGATCAAGACATGAGTACGATGTTGTTAGTTGTTGTTTCACAGCTATTGATACAATATCATGAATTGTTCGGGTAATGAATAGTCCTTCAGAAGTAATCCCATGTAAGCTGGAGGCACTTCATTAAGGGGAAAACAACTCGGATTTCGTGAACGTTATTTCTATGTTTGAACAATCATAGTTATTTCGATATTTGAACAAGCAGTTAGTTCTATATTTTTTCAATCGCGATTATTGAAATTTTAAATTTACCACTTCCAAATGTCATAATTATGCAGTAATTTTAGAAAAGAAAGTGATAAATTATTTTTTTTAATTAAAAAATAAGGAAAAATACACAAATTTAAGTTTTTAATCTGACTTTGAATTATGCAGAAAATAGTTATCATTACAAATACGGAATTGTGCACTGTGTCCGGGGTCATGACACGGTCATGCATATTTGCATCTTAATGCCATGATATTTCGACGGCACTGATTTGCAATAAAAATTAATCCTAATCTGTTTTACGTCGGTCCCTTCAAAATGGAGCCGTCGGCGCACTAATTACGCTATTGATTGCCAAATCCTTACATCAAACATCCAAAACATTTCTGAATAAGATGGAAAATCGACTTCTACTCGTCTGACGAACGCTGTGCGAACGTGTAAAAATATTCACCATTTCAGCTGTGCCATAATAGACCAACAACTGGTATCAATCCACAGCCATGTTTATCAGTAAACAATATCAATTTATTTGAGTAATTGAACATAATGAAACTACGTTTAGCATCAACAGTTATAATTTGTCCTTCAGTATTGAACACTGAAGAGCTGCAATTTAAAAGATGAAGTTATATCATTTTTCACTTAATGATACCGCACGAAACAATCGGTAAAGCAATGTAAATATTGGCGAAGCTGCTGTCAGAATTACGTGTGTCCTGATTTGCCAACGACAAGCACGCAATCATACGATGACCCCTTTTAAATAGAGGATGCATGGCCAGTTGTAGTTTCTGGACTCGATAGCGAATGCAAAGTAGCACCATACGAAGCGTTATTGAGAATCGTTAAATTACTCATCCAAAAAGTTGGTTCAATTAATCATTGGGAGCGGTTGATTGTAACATGCATCGTGAAGGAGACAATGTCGGTTTATTCAGTTTGATGTTCCAGTCGCCAGTGTTTTTTCAGTGAAAACTGGAGTTGTATGTCTCGATAATATGGTATTGTTTTGATGGGTCCGTGTACTTGTTTCTAATTTGATTACCATGTATTGCAATCACACAAACTTTCATCTTTGGTCGTTGTCCTTAGACGTGTATTTAGGTCATTGTTCGATGAGGGAGAATCAAAGTGAGATTTGATCTCTCGTCCAAAAGCAACATTAACGCCACTTCCGTTTCGACTGTGATTTCCGTGAATGAGTAGGGCTTCTGTAAACGATATTCACCTTACGTAAATCTGATGAGGTAATCCTGGGTTGGATGGATGGTATAAAAAACAGTTTCCAAAGGATCATATACACACATGGTGGTCTGTGTTTTACGGTGACTATGGTGCGTAGGGTCCATGATGGAACCGGTCTCACATAAATCAGATGTTTTACTCCGATGTTTTACTCCGATGTTTTACTCCGATGCGATGTCTTTCTGTGTGAAGATCTGACAAACCACTGCATTGGATGTCGCGTCGTGTGAACTTTCTAAACAACCAATCAGCGTCGAGACTTCTGCATTCTCGGTACAAATGAGCGAAGCATTTGGAGTAATATATTTGTATTATCTATTTCGAAAACGACAATGAACGGACAGTTCCGAATGGCAAATAATAAAGGCTGTGCGATAATATCGTGTCGACAGGTTTTCACTTGATTATCTGGTTTGTTTACAGAAAGCCGTCGCTTAGCAGGACTGCTGCTGTGCGGGGTCGGGCAACAAACACTTACTTTTTTTATGCAAATTGTGTGTGTGGCGCTGACAGAGTAGGGCATTGCTTGTATTTTTTTACCAACACCTGGTGTCGTCACTGATTTTCAGTGATTCATTCATAGACTTTTCACCACTATTTTTCCTTTTACACCCAATGGACAATCGTAATTGTAGGGGTAGAAACTAAAATATTTAGTCCACTAGTCCTTATAATGATAACATATAGCAAAACCCTTAAAAATGGCAAATTTCTACTAATCCTTATGATACCTTAACTATTGGCTAGTTGGGCAAGGACTACAGGACTAGTGCCAATTTCTAACGCTGAATTGTTGTTCTCTGGCGTTGACGTTTTATATCCATACATTGTCGTTTCTGATGGCTAGGACATCAACTTCCTAAAGAGTACCATCGAGAAAATGTATGCTCTCTGTAGATAAATTCGACTTTTCCAAATCGAGGTGGTTAAAAGGTGAAACCAGAGTAAAAAATATGATTTCGGATGCAAACTAAAAGTGCTATTCACGGAAGTGAATACGCTTATTCTTTAAGCAGCCTGTCCGTCATACTGGTAGGTAGGAAGACAGGTACCAAACACTACCCCGCGTGCCATCGTAGCGCTAAGATGATTGCAGCTCCTATAGTTTAGCATTGACTTATGGCAGCCGTAAGACCGCCTCCGTGGTCTAGTGGTAGAGCGCCCGCCCGGAGAGCGGAAGGTCCGGGGTTCGATCCCCGGCCGCGTCATACCAAAAGACGTTAAAAGATGGTACTTGTTGTTACCCTGTCTGGCGCTAAGGGGTTAAAGCAAGGACTGGTCGGCTCGGAGTCAGTATACTTTGTCTGAGTGGGGTATTCATGTTAAACTGCGGCATGGTATCTCAGTGGGCTAGCACTATAAATCAGTCCGGTCTAGTACAAGCGGCCACACACACGTGCATGCACGTCGCTATATAAGTGCAATAATCTTGGACGCGACGTTAAACCCAATTTCACCTCACCTATGGCAGTCGTAGCGCTAATACCACCTCGTGGGCCAGTTAATAGAAGTGCAGTTAAACGTCCCTACATCTAAATAATTTTGTCTAAATGTGAGTATATGTTTTTGATGTTAACGCTATCGTAAGCGGTATTTGAATCCAAAGGGTCAGATTTATGCAGTATTTGAATTAAAAGTGTCAATTTTATCAAATATTTGAATCAAAACGACCAGGGGGACAGAAACACCCCGGACGCAGATCGTGGACGTTTATACAGCTTCATCATGCTAACAAACGAAGGATCATGTGGCGCCAGCCTGTTTCCGAAACTACAATCAGCAGGTCCTGGAGGGAAACGGAGATAACTCAGTAGTGCGTGTTTTAATTCTTTTCACAATGGCTTTGGTTGTAAGTTAAAACAGTCGTACAGTGGTAGAGAAGTAATGTAAAATGTCGGATTAGTAAAAACGGAATTCCATAAAAATATTTTAAGAACGTTTTACGTCTTAGTGCACGCGTTTCTTGGCTTCTTAGGTTGTCAAATTAGCATGGTGTCAAATGCATGCTCGGGGTCAGAATACGTTACCCGTGAGATGTTGGGGGTGAACAGATCCGAAATACCCTATGTTCGTCATAAGAGACTATTAATGAGGATTGGTTGGCCACAATGTGCGATCTGTCTGATTGTGTGTAATCGTACTCCGGCGGCCATGAACGTTACTCATTCTATCAACCACTGTGGTATTGCTGAACCCGTGAAGATCCGGGTTAGAACTGGTCTTTAGCAACCCATGCTTGTCAGTGAGTCAGTGAGTGAGTATGGCTTTACGCCGCTTTTAGCAATATTCCAGCAATATCACGGCGGGGGACACCAGAAATGGGCTTCACACATTGTACCCATATCAGGAATTGAATCCGGGTCTCCGGCGTGACGAGCGAACGCTTTAACCACAAGGCTTCCCGACCGCCCCGCTTGTCGAAAAACACGACTAACGGGATCGGGTTGTCAGGCTCACTGACTTGGTTGATGCATGTCGACGTATCCCAATTGAGTGGATCGATGCTCATGATATCTGTTCGAGACTCGTTTGTTAACAAACCGCCGTCATAGAATATTGCCGAGTGCGGCGTTTAACCACAAAGATATTGCTGTAATATAGAAACAAACCGACAGCGGCGTAAAATAATATGCCATCAATCTTGTTTTCATTGGAAGAAACACTAAGATAATTCTTGTCCTTGACAACAATAACTTCCCGA